AATAATTTATTTTGATTCTTGGTTTGGGTGGGGGGGTAAAATATGAGTCTTATTCCTTTAACAAGCCACTGTATGGAAGGCAAACAGGGCCAAAATAAAACATTATCAGTTGATTTTAAATAAGTAAAACTGGGTACCCCCCCAGTTTTATAGTTTAGTTATTTAAATGGAAATAAAAAATTGCAGGAAAAAAAATGAAACTTTAAAAAACTTTGTGATCAAAAAATGTTTTTAGGGAAATTTTGTTATTTTTTTCTTTAAATTTAGTTTTACATGTTATTCATTTCTAGTTTTATTTTTTAAATTAGTTGTTATAAAGCTCAATAACTAAATTAAAAAAATCCTTTTAAATATATATATTTCTCTTCTTATCGTTTAAACTCTAACAGCCAAATAATAAACAGTTTTGTGTGAAACTGATTCTGTCTCTTCAGCGCAAACATCTGCTTTTTGTTTCAATGCTGCTCGTCGCTCTCAGATCTTCTGTTAGCAGGTTTATCGCGCTGCTGTCTGTTTATTCAGGTTGAATTTAAACACCATGAAGCTAAAAACCTAAATCATTTCTCTTTAATGCAGCTTTCAGCTTCAAACTTCCTGAATGTAGAACTGCTTACGGCTGACGCTAAAACATCCATTTTCTGTCGCGTTGATCCCAGGCGGGGCGGCGGGGGCTGCTGGTGCTTCTCTCCAGCTGCCTACAGGGAGAGGCGGGGCCACACCTGGACAGGTCGCCAGTCCGTCGCAGACACTAAAACAGGCTGATATAATCATTCTAAACTTTCCTTCAGGGCAGGAGATCCCAAAGCGGGGGCCCGGACCCCGTGGGGGTCAAAAAACAAAGTTTTTGGCCCTGAGATGGTTTTCACAATCACTCTGACCAATGAGGTTCATAAAGGACCAAATATATCATGAAATAAAGAAATGGATCGTGAAATAAGTAGATGTAACATTTATTTGTTGTTGTTTTTTTTATATAGTGTCTGATTCAAATATTAAATTGATGGAGGGCATCAGACGCTGTGTTGCCAACTTAGCACTTTTGTTGCTAAATCTAGCGTCTTTATTTCTGTGTAAATGGAGTGTTTGGCGACATAGAAGCACCAAACTCTGTCCTCCTGAGCGAGACGATCGTAAGCCTCGCTGTCCTCCTGCCTGCGCTGCAGCAAACAGTAAACCTTTCCAGTCTGAATCAGATATCAAATAGAATATGCAGAGCTGCAGCTAATTCTGCCCTAGATTATAAAAATAGAATTTTTAACTGACGCAGTCGTCTCACATAAAAAAACTGCATCTTTGATCTACAGCTTCATTCTCTCCTCTGATCCTCTGGTTTCTGTGTGTCTTTGAACTGCTGCTGCTTTCTTCTTCTTCGTTTGTTGTTTTTCTATATGTTGGTTAGATCCTCAGTCCTCCAGGTCTTAGTCATTCCAACCTGTTTTCCAGGTTGAAATAGTTTCGCTTCCCATCCAGGAACNTGGCTAGCTCTCCCTGCTAGCTCTCCCTGCTAACTCTCATGGCTAGCTCTCCCTGCTAGCTCTCCCTGCTAACTTTCATGGCTAGCTCTCCCTGCTAGCTCTCCCTGCTAGCTCTCCCTGCTAACTCTCCTGGCTAACTCTCCTGGCTAGCTCTCCCTGCTAGGTCTCCCTGCTAACTCTAATGGCTAGCTCTCCTGGCTAACTCTCCCTGTTAGCACTCCTCGCTAGCTCTCTGTGCTAGCTCACCTGGCTAGCTCTCCCTGCTAGCTCTTATGGCTAGTTCTCCCTGCTAGCTCTCATGGCTAACTCTCCCTGCTAGCTCACCTGGCTAGCTCTCTATGCTAGCTCACCTGGCTAGCTCTCCCTGCTAGCTCTCATGACTAGCTCTCATGACTAGCTCTCCTGGCTAGCTCTTCCTGCTAGCTCACATGGCTAACTCTCTGTGCTGGCTCTCCTCGCTAGTTCTCCTGCTAACTCTCATGGCTAGCTCTCCCTGCTATCTCTCCCCGCTATCTATCCTGGTTAGCTCTCCGTGCTAGCTCTCTGGCATCCATCGCTTCTCTCCTTTTGCACCATGTCTCTCCTCATTCACTATCGAAAAAGTATTGAAATTTTATTTAGTTTACGCTCTGGCTACAAAATAACAATAAAGTTTGTCTAAGTCTTTCTATCTTTCTATATGCCTCTTACTGTGCTGCCTTCTAGCTCGCTGAGGCTAGCAATGTTAGCATCATTTAAACTGATAAAATGAACTCCAATGTAAATTATCCTGAATAAAAACCATAAAAACACGTATTAGCCGAGTGAACACCGACACTGTGAGGTCGTCAGAAACAGCTACATAGCCAGTTAGCATGCTAACATCTCATCAAGTTATTTCAGAACCTCCTGTTTTTCCAGCAAATGAACGGTGAAGGTTTGGTTTCTTTACCTCTCCGTCGGCGTTGGCGATGGGCGAGTTCAGGATGAAATCTGTTGGCGCCAAAACGTCGACTAAAGCCACAGCATCATCCTTTAGCTGTCCAGACATAAACAGAATTAAGCTAGCTTTAGCTTCAAAAGGTCAAAATTTATTGCCTAATAAAGTTTGTTCAAAAACAGTCATTTAAAACTGATGAGTTTTAGAAACCTGATAAATATTTAAATTTCTAAACCTGATTTTCAGAAGTTTTGTTTCTTAAGTTTTTTTTTTTCATCCAACTGTTTTGAATAATTTGCTTTTAGTAAAAAAAAAAAAAAAAACGTTGTTGAACAAACTTTGTTCCCAATTTATCCCCATAGATTACGGCCAGAACCGTCCGCCTGAGAGCGAGCGTCTGATCTTGGATCTGAATGTTTGGTTCCAGTTTTTCCGCCCCTGCAGCTCCAGACGGGTGGTTCCTGACCGCCTACCTCTGAGCAGAGTCGGAGGACGCTGAGCTGAAGCAACTCTGCAGGTTTCCTCCCAGTCAGATAGTTTCCTGCACAGAAAGATCAGAGTCAGGCGGCGTCAGACCAGCTGAGCTGCCGCAGCGCCCGGAACCTACCCTGGAACAAGGTGGCCATGTGGTCGCTGAGGCTCCACAGTCCGTAGAGGGCGCACAGCTTCCTCAGCACTGGTCTGAGACCAGTGGGGGTGTCCTGGTCACTGGTCTGCTCATAGAACCTCTGCAGGCAGCAGTGCTGGATGTAGCTGATGGCCAAAGACCTGCAGTAGTAAACCTGAAACAAACAGCTTCAGCTGCTGAGCAGCTCGTCGTTCCTAAAGTCTCACTTCACCAGAGAAACAACAGCAAACATGGCGTCACTGAGCTGCTAGCACGCTAACGCTGCGTAGCTCCTAGCTTCTCATATCGGCTCAAACTGATTCATTAAAATGAGCAAATAAATAGAAGCCGTCCTTCCAGGGATCAATTATGGAGTTTAGTTTTTTTTTTATTTTGGAAAAAAAAAAACTGAAAATACCAATAATTTGATACTTTAAAACATTTTAGGTGAAAATTATTTTTTAAAGATGAAGATTAAAAACTTAGAGGAATTAGATGATATATTCCCACGTGTTGCATTTAGGAACCGTGGGAGAAGTTAATCTGTTCAGTTTATGATCATTTTAGTGTTTTTTTAATTTTCTGGATGCCTTTCTCTAAGTGACTCACATACATATTCATCTTTTTTCATTATCAGTTTGAATTTTCTTTCATTCTGTTTCAAAACCTGTTGAAGGAAATTTATGGCTCTAATTTAGCTCCATACTTCCAGCTGCTCTAAAATGCTGCTCCTCCTGTAGCTTCCAGGTTCAGCGCCCCCTGGTGGCCACTGGCAGCACTAGTGACCCAGTCTGGGTTCTGGTTCTGGTATCAGCAGGTCTAGAAAGGTTGAGCCTCTGGATGAAACCCTCCATCAGAGCTAACAGCTGTTAGCGTAGCTCGCTCAGACCGCTCTGGGTCACATGACCCAATCAGAGGCGGATCAGAACCTGTGAGGAGGAGCATCCATACGCAGCAGGAGGCGACCATCGATAGAGGATCTCAGGTTAATGCTGGGGTCAGAGGTCACGCTGTGACTGACCGCCTGGTTTCTGTTACCTGGCTGTTGTTCCGCGCCTCAAACTCATGGTTGCATGAAGCTCTCTGTTGCTCCAGCCTCCTCTGACTCTCCTCCAGCAGGAAGCAGATCAGCCACCTATAGGCAGCCAAAGGAACTGCAGGGAAAGCGCAGATTGAGAACAGGTGGAAGTTCAGGGCTGGTGTTCAGCTTGTGACGGTACCTTCAGGGTTCAGACAGTCCTCCACGGTCTCAGCTGAGAACCTGCTCTGCAGGACCTTCAGGTGATCATCCAGGAAGTCCACGGTGTGAAACGGGGACTGGATCCGCGCTCCGTCTGAAAACACAAAAGTTCTGAACGTTTCCTGATTGACCTGCTGACGAACTAACGAAGAAAGGTCTGTTCTGTTATTAACGATGGCGGCTGGCCAGTAGAGGGCGCTATGGCGCCTCCCCACTCATCCTATCACCCTCATTAAGATATTAAAAAAAAATAAACATTTAATTATAAAAAATATTCTGATATATATTTTAGATGACCAAGATAAATATTGAATGTTTAATGAGGATGTTGGTCAGATTGGTGACGTATTTCCATAAATCTATAGACTCTGGTTAGAAGCTGTCCAGCAGCAGAGCAAAGATAGGAGAACCTGAGGAGCAGATCTCTGCACCCAGAGCTGGAAGCAGATTCATTTAAAGCGTTTTATTTTGGCGGGTCTGCTGTTTCCTCCTGGATGAAACCATCTCATCTGCTTCGCAGCACCAGCTTCTCCAAACAAGCTCAGTAGCTCAGAAAAATAGGCGAGGCTCAGAACTATTCCAGCAGTGAGTCGTTTCATTTAGTGTTTTAGTGCATTTTGTTTAATTTTCCTGTTGGAACAGAGAAGACTGACCCTGAGGTTCTGGTTCTGATCCGCTTTCAGCCCCTTTCCTGGCTCCGCCTCCCGCCTCCCTGAACCCCTCCCTGCTCGCCGGGCGCCGCATCATGGCGGCCCAATGCTCCCAAAGGGGGAGGAGTTAAATGCAGAGAGCGAATTACAATAAAGGATTTTAGCCTTTTATCTTCTGTTCATTTTGCCTCTGAGAATAAAATCCTTTTAATCTGTTAAAAAATGGAATGAAACAGCAGCAACGATTAGTCGACAATTAATTATTATAAAGGATCAAAGACTGAATACGTCATTGGTTGGTCAGAGTGCAGTTCACCAAGGCGGCAGCAGAGGGCAGCAAAGCAGCGGATTCAGCTTAGCAGAAAAAAACAACAAATGTTTGATGCAAAATGAACTTTAATGTGATTTTAGAGGAAAAATTAACCAGAGAGGCTGAAATATCAGCTGGTTATGAACATCTGGCTGAATTCTGAGCTTCTTCTGTTTCTGAAGGTTATTGATCGGATTATTTCACTGTTTATGAGATTAAAGACTGAGATTAGTGTGAAGCTGTAGAAGACAGAGCATTAATCCAGCATTCATTCATTCATTCATTCATTCATTCATTCATTCTGTCATGTTTAAGGTTGATTCTGGTAAAAAGACGCATCAGAGAAACTGGCTGCAAACAGGAAGCGCCGCTAAACGCAGCCAGGATTGGAAACCTGTCTTTATTGGACGTCCAACAGTAAAAAAAAAAATTACTTTTTTAAAATAAACTGGAAAACTAATCAAGTCAGTTAAACTTCTAACATTTGGAGGATTTTTTAATTAAAAATGTCATTTTTCATCATCTTTAAATCAAAGAAATCTTTTCTATCAGATGCACACATCTAACCGCCTGGATCCAGATTCACTATTTACGACTTGATCACTAATTTATTCACCAGTTGATGACATCATCTGGTCATCAGGGTTTCCTACAGTAAAGGATTTAATTATATTTGGTTCTGATTCGTCTTCCTTTATTTCATTTATTCCTTTAATCTAAATAATCAGTTTCAGGTTTTTGCAGCCTGGTGATCTATAAGGTTTGGTTCTACGGCGCGCTGCGGTCTCACTCACGCTGCAGCTTGGCGTTGAACAGGCTGAGCAGGTAGTTGCTGGTCTGTTGCAGCAACACGTTGTTGTCTCCTTCATAGGTGCAGTTCGGGTCGTTGTCGTCGCGCAGATCTCCCAGCCGGTTCACTGCAACAAACGCGCTGAATGAAGCCAAACCGCCTCGCCTACTGAGGCGGAAACAGACACAGCTATGGGGAGACATTCCATCCAACATTACTGGAAGATCAGAACACGTCTCAAAATAGAAGGAAATGGGCTGAAAAAATTTAAATTTGAAAACTTTGAAATCAAAAAAGGTTTTCATAGTGATTCATAACCTGCAGTTCAACTGGCATCTTTTTTACTTTAAACAAACGGCAGAGGTCAGCGGGCCGGGAATCAAACCTTTAACCCTGCACCCCCGCCTCGCCCACTTCAACCAGCGCTTCTGTTTATTTCAGACTCTATTTTCCAAATATCATTTATTTTACATATTTCCCTTTTTAACCCTCTGGGTTGTTCGGACCAATAGGAATCAGTCTACTCTGCTTAGCAACAGCATTCCTATTGGTCGGTTTACAGCATAGGGGGAGAAATCTGTAAAATTTAGCCTTCAATGAAATTTGATACAAAATTAAATCGAATTTTCTCTTTTGAAAAGTTGACATTTGCAAAGGTTTCATCTTTCAAAAAGTGTTTTGTTTTATTTTATTTAAAGGCGTCCTTCTCTTCCAGTAATCCTGGAGCAAATTTCCCCCCGTAGATTGCTGGTTGAACCCACTGGCCAGGTATCCGTGTCCCCCGCAGGCCTCCCTGCACTCCTGGATGCCCCTCTGAGCCGTCCAGGATCCCAGAGGTTTGCTGGAACATCCCACGGCGTGGATCTCTCTCCCCATCTCCGCCTGTGGAGGAGCGCCAGGCAGACGGGTGACGCTCTGAGGGAAACCACACACCTGGCCGCATGGCCGACCTTCACTCACCTGTCTGTCGCTGCTGTCCCTCATTAGCTGGCCCATCTGGAACTCCACAAAGTTCATGAAGATGGTTTTGGTGAAGTGTTCGAGGGCGTAGGCTGCAGCCAGGTACGGGATCAGGCGCCACTGCTGCAACGCACACAGAACACCTGCATCAGCATCCGATGGGCGGCGGCGTTACCGCCCAAGCTTGCTGGGCGGCGGCAGCGGCGTTACCGCCCAGCGAGCTTGGGCGGTAACTCATCATGAGTTTTGCTCCCAATGGTTCAGAACTGTTGCTGCAAACTACCTGTGCTTTGCAACGCTGGAGTTTTATACCTGTAGATTTCTTTTTAAATTCGTCACAATTTTAAAAAGAGAACAAGGACATAGATTTTGTTCCTAGAGTTTCCCATCAAAATGTCTTCTATTCAGTTTGGCTACAGTTGATCTAAAACACGTTTATTAGAATCTTAAAGTCGTAGAGAAGCGTCTGTTCCAACGTTTGCATTTCCAAATTCTCCCAGTGGCGCCTGACTTTATATGAGTGAATAAAGTGAATGTGATTGGTCAATTATCAAGGGGGCGGGGTCATTGTGGCGTAGAGCTAACAGAACTGGCAGCGTTGCGAGGCAAGGGCTCAAACATGTACGGCTGGAAGCCTTCTACACCAAACCAAGCTTCTGCCG